AGTATTATAATGTTTGCCTTTCTATTACTAATAATATTAAAGCAATCGTTATAATACTTTTTTGTATAGCCTACATTTTAATTCCTTTGTTTAACAGTTCTATCTAATTATTAGATAGACTTCTATCTATATTAGACAGAACTGAATGACGACAGCGAACAAGAGGGAGAATGTGAGCAGGTGTGCTCAGGCGCTGCCGCAGCCGTTCTCGGTGCCGTCAAAATAAAAGTTCGACGCGGCGTCAAAAATAAAAGTCCTGCCTCGAACACATCGGCCAAACAGAAAAACTTATCGGCCGATGCCGATATTTGAAAAATGGCAGATATCGGCCGATATATCGGCCTTGTTGATATATCGGTCGACCACTAGTACTTACACAGGTTGTGGTTCGGAGAGCTTGTTAGTCCAAATTAAGAAGATTAGAAGCCAACGAAGATAAAAGCCAAGATTAGAGAAGCAGTCCTTGGTAAAATGACAGGCACACAACAAAAGGTTCAAATTGTATTTCTGTGGTATCCTTGAACACAGTGTCTTCTCAACATGATGTAAACACACTAACTAGCGGAAGTGTTTGTGGGCAGGTCAGACTCTGTTCGTATTTCGTGGGCAGGCGGGGATTATGCAAATGTGTTACCTAGTGACGTATACCGGTAACAGGCAAAAGATTAGAAAATATGACAACTCGTTAAGGCGATTCAGAATCGACTCTCTCTTTTGAGAGACAATATCTTTATTTATCATGCAATTTTTTGATTAACAACTTTGCAGATTTTTTTCATTTAAGGATAGCTACGTTATAAACTGCAAAAGAGATATTTTTCAAAAACCCATGACCTGCTCTTTAAAGTATTATACAGGGACTGTATGGCCACATTCTCTACTACACCCTTAAAGTAAGTGACTAAAGTACAGCACTAAGGCACACAGTTTAAGCCCGTAGCAACAGTCTGGTATGTGGGACAGGGATCGCTGTGGGAGGAAGGAAGGAGGTGTGAATAAAGAAGACTGTCTGGATGGAGGGATGAAAGAGGATGTGAATGCCCTGAGTAGCTGGCGTCGCTCTTTAGGGACAAAGAATGAGAAGATGGACATGAAAAGACCGAGCTCTTGTATATACAAGTTGGCGATGTTAAAGCCAACATGGAAAAACCATGAACCCATGTAATTAATTTCATGTTCCTGGTCATATTTTGAATGATTTTGTAAGCATGTAATGAAAAAAGATGAATATGGAAACCTTTTACGTAATACACGGCCTGAGTGCATGTTTTTCCAAAGAAAATACTGTTTGTTTGTATTGTTTGTAATCTTTTATTAAAATGTAATAACTTGCTTCTCCTCTGAAACGGCTTTTATTTTCTGCTGACACCACTTAGGTTGTGCATGTGTTCTGGCACCATTGTAGTATGTAACCCTTTTCACCTACCAATCAATTCTTGATGTATAATATCGTGTTCAGTCCTACATTTTTAATTTTTATTTTATATATTTTATCATTATTTTATTTTTTTATTTATTGTTTATTGATTTTGTTTTATTTATTATTTTTTTTTTATAATGTTATATTTTTAATTATTTTTTATATAGTTAATTTGTAGTCTTTTATATTATTTTTGTTTCAGTTAATCATTATTTTAACTTTATTTATTTATTTTGTTTTTCTTGTATTTACTGGTTGTTGTACATGCTGTTTTCAGATTTCAGAACATCACATCACTGAACCTCACTGATCAGATGAAACCTCCCTCAGTAACACTAACACACATATGCTGTGTGTTTCAGTTGCTGTACTGTCTCTCCTGACACCAGTTCCACTGACCTCACTTGGTCAGCAGTGCTTGACAGGAAACATAATTCTGAATTTTCAGGGACAAAGCTCTCAAATCATGGTTTAGAGTGAGGGTCATGACAATCTTGACACGGCTCTTGTGTTGAGTGATTTATTGTACCTCTGTACATGGTGTAATATGAAAATTTGGCCAGGTTTCACACAAAATGTCTCCCAGTGCACCAGCGGGCTGGACCTAGATAGTCTCAATTCATATTGTATGGTTTCTTTATGGTTGTGTGATTTAAAAAAAAATCCCTTTTCACTTGAGGAAGAGACAATTATGATAGATGGAAACTGTTCTGTATAGAAAAGGTAATTGTGCAAGATAATTTGTTTAGATGTGTTTAACAGCAATTGTTAGGTTATTTTGACCGGTTTTCTAGGTGTTAAGTTGCATGGGTTTGTGTCTGTTTGAGTGTTTGGGTTTAGCTGATCACCATCTTTCGTTATTTGCCCTTTAGATCTTGTCAGCAACTTTAACTTTATGTCTGAGAGCACAGACTGTACTGTAAGTCAGGTTACTATGAGGAAGTGTGTGGTCAAGACTGTGGAATATAGGCCACTGAACATCACTGAAGCAGTTTAAGTAGTGCCTGGTGAAATTTTATAATTCCTTGCTGTCGTTTACTAACCTAAATGATACGCCAGCTAAAAGCATCACTAAAAATAGCCGTTTTATGGTTTTCTTACAAGTTTCTTTCTCTGTTTTGTACTGTTGCAGTGATGATGAGGATGATGATGGTGGTGATGAAGAGGAGACACAGCTGAGAGCTGAGTGTGTGTGGTTGTGTTGCGTTCACATTGGGAGTGGGAAGAACCCCCCTCCCCCACACACACTGCATCCATGTTCTCCCCCGACCAGGAAAACATCTCCACGTCGTCAACCAAAGTGCCAGTCAAATATGGAGAACTCATTGTGCTCGGGTAAGACCTTCTGGCCTTTGACCTTGGATCAGCAGGAAGCAGCATCTGTCGTATCGGAGTTAATAGTTTGTAATGCTCAGTGACAACTTTGTATGCGAGTGTATGCGTTTCTGAAAATAGAGTCAGTTGGCGTGAAGGTTTTGTATGTTTCTGTTGTTGTTGTTACACTGTGGGCAAAATGTAAGGGTGATGCATGTTTACGAGAACAACGGAGCCCTCAGTTAGAAAACAAAGTGGGTTTCAATGTCGTGTTGGGAGTATCATAATGCACTTCATTGACTTTCATTTGCAAAACAGACTTCTATGTGACTTGCTGCGCTATCATCACATGACCACCTGGCGTCTAAAAGAGTTTTTTGTGTATTAACTTCTTTGATTAGATGTTCTCAGGGGTCATGGATTGGATTAGATTCTCATCTTGAAGCACATAGAGGACTCACGTCACCTCCATTATTGTGTTGGGTTACAGCTGATTTAAGTGTTGTGTTACTGCTAAACTGTGGTTTTAGCTACCTTGTGAAATAAAACCAAAATCGCAATCTGGCTTAGTGTGATTATCAAATTGCAAAAGTGTGATTTTAATTAAATATATACTGTTCTAATACATGTTTAAGAACAAACCCTGTTTTGCAGTGGTTCAGTTCGCAGTGAATGCAGCTCCATATTGACTCACATATGGACTCACATATGGACATCTCTGCATCTGCTCTGAGTTTGGTTCACTTTAACATGCATTCGGGAAAAGTTTAATTGTAAATAAAAGTTTTTGTTTTGCGTTTGAAAATGCAGAAATGAAGATGGCTTTAAATGTTAGTGATGTAATTTTATGTAAACTTATCATATTAGTGAAATATCTCTCTACGTTTATTAGTTTATTATTTAGTACATTGTGCAAGATAATTTGTTTAGATGTGTTTAACAGCAATTGTTAGGTTATTTTGACCGGTTTTCTAGGTGTTAAGTTGCATGGGTTTGTGTCTGTTTGAGTGTTTGGGTTTAGCTGATCACCATCTTTCGTTATTTGCCCTTTAGATCTTGTCAGCAACTTTAACTTTATGTCTGAGAGCACAGACTGTACTGTAAGTCAGGTTACTATGAGGAAGTGTGTGGTCAAGACTGTGGAATATAGGCCACTGAACATCACTGAAGCAGTTTAAGTAGTGCCTGGTGAAATTTTATAATTCCTTGCTGTCGTTTACTAACCTAAATGATACGCCAGCTAAAAGCATCACTAAAAATAGCCGTTTTATGGTTTTCTTACAAGTTTCTTTCTCTGTTTTGTACTGTTGCAGTGATGATGAGGATGATGATGATGGTGATGAAGAGGAGACACAGCTGAGAGCTGAGTGTGTGTGGTTGTGTTGCGTTCACATTGGGAGTGGGAAGAACCCCCCTCCCCCACACACACTGCATCCATGTTCTCCCCCGACCAGGAAAACATCTCCACGTCGTCAACCAAAGATATGGACATCTCTGCATCTGCTCTGAGTTTGGTTCACTTTAACATGCATTCGGGAAAAGTTTAATTGTAAATAAAAGTTTTTGTTTTGCGTTTGAAAATGCAGAAATGAAGATGGCTTTAAATGTTAGTGATGTAATTTTATGTAAACTTATCATATTAGTGAAATATCTCTCTACGTTTATTAGTTTATTATTTAGTACATAGATCTATCTATCTATCTATCTAATATTAATAACTAATAGTTCTTCATTAACAAAATTAAATTATTTATTATTATTATTATTTTAAAGCCATTTTGATATATAATCACAACATTTCGGTCAAATTGTGCAGCCCTAAAACAAGCACAGCAAACATATATATTTTTTTTTAAATCACAATTTTTGTCAGAAAAATCATAATTTGATTGTTTTCACCCCCTAAATAGTTTAACCCTATTTGTGTAGATATTTAGTTCTGTTTTTTCATATTTGTAGTGACAAAAAATTAATTATCTTGAATATTTTGGAAATTATATTTGCGTTGTGTAAGTTTGGTTACTGAGCTTCTAGCTCTGACAGAGCTCTCTTGAGCTTATAACCTACATTTGACCACACACACACACACACACACACACACTGCTCCATGAGTCAGCCTCCTGATGAGATGGCTCATTTCCCTCCACCACCTTGTTTTCACTCTCTCCTCCCAGCAACAGCTGACACTGAAAGACTTCCTTCATCTACACCTCTTCCCTATCTATCTATCTATCTATCTATCTATCTATCTATCTATCTATCTATCAAAAATGTTTGTGATTGTGCTGGGCAAGCTCCATATATGTTTCCAAAATTATGCCTATTACAATGGCAGGCCATTTGTAGTACTCTGTAAGTAGGCTACATTTGCATTTATAGAGTAGCCTACTTGCCAAAGCTTAGTATACATGTACAAAAAGATAAAAAATAATAATACAATAATAATAATTAAAAGAACATCACAGTAATAGAATGGAATATTATAACATCTTAGAAGTATTAAACTAACAAATTATAACGTGTGAACATTTGATACCACAGTCTTAACTTACATTAAGACTGTCTTTGTGTCTCTGACACTCTGGAGATAATCTTCCAATTCATAATTTGATTTTAGAGTTCGATAGAATTGTAATTTACTTTGTGTTTTAGTTTCTTTACCTCAATATTCCAGATATGTATTTTTAGATTGTTTGATAATTTGATTTATTTTGATGTTTGGATGAGAAGCAGTGCTGGTTTGAGACTGGATAGTGTTAGTAGAGTTAGTCAGGTTAGTAAGTCTCAGAACTAGCTGACTGAGTGGACTCTTCTCGGGGTTCAGTTCTTGGGTTTGTATTGCTTTAAAATGTAGTGATTCTGTGGGACTTGATTTAAGATGCATCCAGAATTTGAGGGATCTTTTATGCATATTGATAATCAATGGGAATCGGCCTAATTCTGCCCTACATGCGTTATTGGGTGTTTTTCTTTGTAGTTTTAGAATCATTTTGCAGAATTCTGTGTGTAGGGCTTCTGTTGGATGTCTGTCCCATCTAGTGTAGCTCTGATCACTGAGTGGACCCCAAACCTCACTTCTATACCACGCTATGGGCTGAATTCTATCAAATATTTTACACCAAATTGGAAGCGGTATTTCAATATTTTTGAATTTTTTCTTTATTGTGTATTGAGCTCTTCGAGCTTTATCTTTGAGAGCATTCACTGCCAAGCTGAAACTCCCCGATGCAGTGATGATCAGGCCGAGGTAAGTGTAATGCATCGTGTGTTCTAGGGCGGTGCTGCCTAGACTGAACTGGTATCTGTGTTCCTGACATCTGGATTTTTTCTGAAAGACTATAATGCTGGTCTTTTTTAGGTTTACTGCCTTCTCTCTCGCTCTCTCTCTCTCTCTCTCTCTCTCAAGGAATGCACTCGCAGATGAGAAAACACTGCTGCGGAAATACCCTGCTTGGTTCTCGTGTGTGTACATTACACTGTTCATTAACATTGTTTTTTCCCCTCCCTGCGTCAGTTTTTTTAGAATAAATATAGAAAGTCTCTGCCGTAAGGGACATAATGCTTTTTCAGATTTACTCAAGCTGAAGATGTCACCTGGTGGGAAACCCCAGATGTCTTAATTGCATTTTTCTGATGTCCATAAAATGGGAGTATAGTTGTATAAGGAAAGCCTCAAGAGAAACAAGCACAATCGGACAGGTTTTTTTGCTTGTTTATAGAGTACATTGTGAAAATGTGGGTTTGCCAAAATATGTCGAGAATGCATTCAACAGCGTCAATGCATGCCTTCTGCAAACTCATGTTAAATCATTTAGAGACTTAATAAAGTCCATCGCTGAGCATCTAAAGCCCAAACCCACACAATACCAAAGGCACAATGTTGAACGTCACATTGCAGCCACTGTGTCTGTGAAAGACCCTTGGGTAGTGAGTAACAGGGTGGAGCACAGAGGGAACCTCCACAGAGGAAACCACAAGACATAGCAGGTGTAGTGTTCATAGTGTTCAGTGTTTATGTAGTGTACACTGGCTTCACGCTGCTCAGATTTGTTTTTCAAATGCCTGCTTTAATCTTTAGTACTAAATGTTCACACTGCTATTTTGTAAGTAATCATATCAGATCCATTCATTCAGATCTGGTGTGTTTATTGGTTCTTTTAATAATGGTAATGGTCAGCATTACAGCATGAGATAGTAGCTGACATTGTGGAACAAAATGATGGCAAACTGAAGAGGATGGTTCTGCTGCTGAAGCACACAACAGAAGATACACTATTGTTCAAAATTCCATGTGTGGATTAATGAGTGAATTCAGTCAGTTGTGGGCAATTCTGCACTTTGTGTATGATGTTACATGTCGCATCCTCAATTACGAAAGAAACTCCTTGAAATACGACCTGATTATCCAGGCCGAGACACATTTCCATAAATCAGATTTGAATTGAATTTCAGACCTCATATGAATGTAGGAACGCCAAATTACAAGTGACGTGGGGTATCACTGTGTTACTAACCCTGCTCATCATGGTAATCCTGTCTCTGTGGATACTGACCACCTGCACATGATTGCCCTGTTCATATTAGGCTCCATGACAAAAGTTGTCAGGCTTTTAACCTTACAATCTTGCCATGAGGTTGTGTCAGGTTCAGTGTGTCATCTCACCTAAAGATATATTTTATGAAGAGTTGATCATGAACTTTATGACTCTGGAATGGTTTTTGTGTGGAATTTGGTTTAGGTTAGATTTTGGTTCCAGATAACAACCTAAAAATGACTGTCTGCTTTTCCTTAGAAAAGCACTGGATCAAATTTCAACCATACAGGCTTTGTTTATGCTTTTGTAAGCTTTTTTTTATCCGTTATGTTCACCATCTGTTGCCTGCGGCTGAATTGGTGGTGGAGTAAGTGTTGAGTGCAGGTGTTTTCAGTAGAATTTCTCACCCTCTTTCTGCAGGTATAATGGCTCTCTACCCAACGGGGACCGGGGTAGAAGGAAGAGCAGATTTGCACTCTTCAAAAGACCCAAATCCAACGGAGTCAAACCCAGCACTGTACACGTAGCCTGCACCCCACAGGCTGCCAAGGTACACACACACACACACACACACACACACCCACATACACACAAACAAACCCTCCACCTAGGCATTACACAGGACTATCAACAGGGTTTCAACAATCAACAATCAACAATCATCAGTTTCAGTGCAGCCTCAAAGGGCTCAACACGGTCCCAGCCGAGGAGTAAGGGTCTTATCTAGTGAAATGATCGGTCATTTTCTAAAAAGAAATAAAAATTCATATTTTTAACCACAAATGCTCGTCTTGCGATTAACTTGACCTCACGCATTACGTAGTCACGTTGTAAAGGTCATGAGTGACGCGCATTGCAGCGCTAGTGTAAGACGAGCATGTGTGGTTAAAAAAATATACATTTTTATTTTTTTAAGAAAATGACTGATTGTTTCATTATATAAGACCCTTATTCCTCGGCTGGGATCGTGTTGAGCCCTTTAAAACTGCACTGAAACTGCAATTTGGAAGTTCAAACTGTTGAGCAACATAGAAGTCCATTAGATGGAGACAAATCCTGGAATGTTTTCCTCAAAATCCTTAATTTCTTTGTGACTGAAGAAAGAAAGACATGAACATCTTAGATGACATGGGGGTGAGTAAATTGTCAGTAAACTTTTATTCTGGAAGTGAACCAATCCTTTTAAGAAAATCAGCAGCTCCAGTGTCATTTTGGTTCTGGGCAAGTTTTGAATTCTAAAACTAGGTGGGCTTGAGCTGTAATGGAACAGGGTGTGTCCAATCACGCATTTACACACAAACAGCTCTGGGCTTGATTCCACAGTTTGTTAGACTATTATGTGCTGCCCAATAAACTTTTGCTGACCAAATTAATTTTTTTTCACATCTGCAAATAGTGTATGTATCAGGGCTAGGCGATTTTCCAGATTTTATCGATTATTTCGAATTTATTGTTTTGCCACAATTTTATTTTTTAGAAATGGAGGAATCGATTTCAATAGAAATATTACCAAATGTTAGAATTAGACACTTTGACAATATGCCGGCGCATGCAACATTCAAACACATCCATGTTTACACAGAAAAGACAATGGAAAAGCAGCGCAATCGAATAAAAAACCTGTAAAGAACTACTACTGTATGTCTGATATTTCATGTTTGCATCATGGTGACAGGCTGAAAGCTGCTGTTGTTTTTAAAGAACATTTATAGTTAATAAAAGTCTACTGGTGTTATACCTTCAGTTATTTTCAGAATCAGAAAGAGCTTTATTGTCAAGTTTATTTGTACAGCGCTTTTCACGATACAAATCATTGTATTGTCAAGTATGCAAGGAATTTACATACAAGGAATTTGTTTTAGTGACATAAGCTTCCAGTACACAGACAACAACAACACACAGACAATAAAAAAAATAAGATGAGAATAATAAAAAAGACATATGTAAATATAAATAGACAAATATAGAAAAATAAAATAAATTAATTGTATGTACAGTTGTGCTATAGATGATAGAATGGAATAGAATAGAATGAGATGCAGGGATGTATATTTGCAGCTCTGTAGTGCCGGCCAGATGGCAAAAGTTCAAAAAGGGGATAACTTGAATGTGAGGGATCCAGAGTGATTTTCTGAGCCCTTTTCCTCACTCTGGATGTATATAGTTCTTGAAGGGTGGGCAGGGGAGCACCAATAATCCTCTCAGCAGTCCGAACCGTTCTCTGTAGTCTTCTGATGTCTGATTTTGTAGCTGAACCAAACCAGACCGTTATTGAAGTGCACAGGACAGACTCAATGACGGCATTAGAACTGTTTCAGCAGCTCCTTGACTTTTGAGATTTTATAAAAGAATTTTCCTCGTATTATTTCTGAACACATAATGTGTATAAGACAAGTTTGTACAATATGTTGTTGTAGTTTTTGCATCTTTTCTGCAAAGATATTTAACAAGTGATTTGATTAACATTTACATCATGTTGACAACATGTGTGCTGCACTTGGAATAGAATTTTCTTTAACTAGAGGTTAATAAAGAAAAAGTAACTTGAATCATGTTGTAGTTACATTTTCAAGTTGACTAGTTAAAAATCGTAAAAAAAATCGAGAATTGGTCAAACATTCTGGAAAAATCGAGATTTAAATTTTTTGCAAAATCGGCCAGCCCTAGTATGTGTATATATTTTGTATTCATTTTTAATTTATTCTATAAATAAAAGTACTTATTTACTCATTTACTTTGAGTATATTTACAAAAAAAAGAGATATAAAATGTTTAAAGCCATATAATATATTTATTTATGACAGTAAGATTAAGGGGCGAGTGTTTTAAGTATTTTTAATTTATTTTATCTTATTTTATTTTTAGGTGGTGGTTAACTGGTGATTTCTTGGGCATATTGCATCTTGATGTCAGCATGTTATTTTATCATCTCTCTTTCTTTTTTTAGGCCATAAGTAACAAGGATCAGCACAGTATTTCCTACACGTTGTCCCGTGTACAGACAGTGGTGGTGGAGTACACTCAAGACAGCAATACAGACATGTTTCAGGTACCGACTCGCTGCTGACTAAGCTGTCCTTTAGGACTACTTCTTGGATTGTGTTCAAAAGCGTCCATTAATCTCACTACTCAAAGTGTCAGCCTGAAATAATGCCGTCACTAAGCAGAAAAGAGGTGACACTAGCATCTACTTTGATTCTGTTTCCTACACTGTTTCTATAATTGTGTACAGTGATGCAAGCTTACCAGTTTCTCTGCAGTGTTTGATGTTTAATTTCTCTCTGCATCTCAGATTGGCCGCTCAACTGAAATTCCAATAGATTTTGTGGTGACCGACACGGTTCCCGGGAGTCAGAGTAACTCTGACACTCAGTCAGTTCAGAGCACCATATCTCGCTTCGCATGCCGGATCATATGTCAGCGAACGCCCCCTTACACCGCCCGCATCTACGCCGCTGGATTCGACTCCTCCAAGAACATCTTCCTAGGGGTGAGATAGCGAGGAAGTTTGACTTCATCTTATGTAAAGACAGTGGGTGATTTGACCTGAGAAACTAGCACTGCTTTTGAGCAGCATAAACAACTGATGTTAGGCCAAATATATACAAATATATAATGAAATCAGATCTGGAATCTGAATAGATTTAAATGCACAGGTATTCTCTTTCTGAAGCATTTGAATGTCGTGTCATCTACCTAAAATAGTGATGTTAACATTTATTCAAAGTACTGAGGTGTTTTTTTTTAAAGATCATTTACTCATCTTCATACCTGTCCAATACCGTATGACTTATTTTCTTCTGTGAAACATAAAGATATTTTGAAGAATGTCTTTTTTCCATACAATGGAAGTCATTGGGCTCCAGTGTTTGGTTCCCAATGTTCTTCAAAATATCTTCTATTGTGCTGCAGCAGAAGAACGTCGGTTATTCAGGTTTGGAATGTCATAAGTAAATGTCGACAGTTTTCATTTTCAGGTGAGCTAACTCTTTAAGTATTCAAATAAAATCCTAATAACATTTTTTTTTTGACTTACAGGAGAAAGCAACAAAGTGGAAGACATCGGATGGACAGATGGATGGTCTGACTACTAACGGTGTGTTGGTAATGCATCCTCGCCATGGTTTCACAGAGGACTCCAAACCCGGTGTGTGGAGAGAGATTTCAGTGTGTGGAAACGTGTTCACCTTGAGAGAGACACGTTCGGCTCAGCAGAGAGGGAAAATGGTCAGTGCTCAGATGTTACATATGTATATAAATATAGCATAATTTGTGAAAGCTGTAATGCAATATCAGATGGGATTCTGAAATGGAAGCTCTGTTAAACAGTCATATGGCTCCCTGCAAGACGGGACGTTGGGGCATTCTGGTGCCGTTGACCGGTTGCTCTGGGACGCTGTTGCCACAGTAACAGCCCAGGCGAGACAGCTTTGCCCTGTCCGGTGTAACACAAAGCTGTAAGATGATCTGGAGTTGATCTGTTAAGTGCGTCAGACAGGAGGTCCAATGAGAACTACTGCTCTCAACACTTTCCTCCTGTGCTCATAACAAGTCATTATCTTCAGTGGTTGTCTAGAAAAATAGAGGCCTGTAAAGACTCCTAGATATGCACAGTGAAGAACACAAATCAAACCGTTTATGTATTCTTGTTGCACAACTCAAACACTCTCTCTTGATACGCATGCACTCACAGTCCAGAGGCTCCGAGGCCCCACATTAATCTGGGTTGTCACAGGCAGAGCAAACACGCTCCTGATTGCTGTTCATGTCCTGCTCCTGAGTCGTCCTGCTGATGGCTCAATGCTGGCTAAACATGGTTCTAATGCTGTCTCAGTGCTGGGTAAACACTGTTCCACTGTGATGCTGCTGTAGAGACGTTCGGCTTTACTGGCTCAGAACAGATCAAGTTATAGCCCAACTGCTCAAATTCTGGCCTGACGCTGTTGAAACTGTCAAGTAGTTCAGAAGCTGGGATTTTTGTTTGACATATTGTTCCCTTTGTTTTGCGTATGCTCATGTCGCTTACAGTTAAAGTCCTTCTCTGATTTTATTGTTGTTTGCAAGGTTGCAATGTTACTTTGCAGTATTTTAAATATTTTTTGGTATTTTGCATGGTCTGTTATTGGAGTAGCGTCACTCGGGTGGGAATTTTAACTCCTATTCACTGGGAATAAAAAAATTATTTAGCAGATGCAGAGACATAGACCGGGGGAGTTTTTTTTATCAACTTTTGGGATTACTGTTCTTGCCGATCCTAAACTAGTGAAATATGAAATTGTTAATATTAATTCTGTGTATAGGATATAAAAAAAAAATTACAAAAATTTAAGCATTCATAATTGCAATAAAAAATATATTAAATTATTATTATTATTAATTGTTTTATTTTAAATTCATGCATTTTTATTTTTATTGCTATTATAATTATTAATGTATTTATTTTTTTGTCATATCATTTCCATTATGTCCTCATTTGTATACATTACGTGATATTCAGTACTGTATACAGAACATGTATTATGGGACCTTTAAACTTTGAGGGCAAAGAAAACAGCAACCCAACACACACACACACCTCCATGCATGCATACACAAATACAGTGTTGTATTTGCACTTTTACTTCGTGACCTTCACATAAGACAGCTCAGACACTGCACAATTCACACACAGTGTCCATACAGCTGTGTGTGTTTGTGTGAGACTAATGCAGTATGGTGAAGGTCAAACTAAAGGCTGATCAAGGGTGGCTCTGTGAAATATGTCGCAACCATGAATTATATCATTCCAGGATGAATGTGTGAATCATAGGGTGTGTGTTTTGTGCATGTGCATATGTCGTATGTGCATTACATATGACATACGACACATATAAGACAGATGTCTTAAGCAGTAAATGGTTATATTATTGTCATTCTTTGGCTCTTTTTATAATGAATGAATCATTGCTGTACAGTGAATGTTGGGGCTTTACTGCCCCCTGCAGGCAAACTTTCAGCACTGCATTTACTGATCAGATTTGCCTTTGTTTTGCTTTAATCATGCATCATGTGTTAAAAGCATGAATATGGACTCTATAATTAAATCCTCTTCTCTTTTCTCATTGGTCTCTCTCTCTCTGTAGGTGGAGAATGAGACTCAAGAGTTAGTGGATGGCTCTCTGATTGATCTCTGCGGAGCGACTCTCTTGTGGCGTACTGCTGAAGGGCTTTCCCGCACTCCCACTGTCAAACACCTGGAGGCGCTCCGGCAAGAGCTGAATGCTGCTCGTCCCCAGTGCCCCGTGGGTTTCAACACCCTTGCCTTCCCCAGCATGCAGCGGAAGGACATAGTGGACGAGAAGCAACCCTGGGTCTACCTAAACTGCGGTCATGTTCACGGCTACCACAACTGGGGTAACCGCGACGCAGAGCGAGAGGGAAGGGAGGGCCATGAGCGGGAATGTCCCATGTGCCGTGCTCGTGGGCCGTACGTGCCGCTGTGGCTAGGCTGCGAGGCAGGGTTTTATCTGGATGCGGCCCCTCCTACTCACGCGTTCAGCCCATGCGGCCACGTGTGCTCAGAAAAAACAGTGGCATATTGGAGTCAAATCCCTCTTCCTCACGGAACGCACACCTTCCATGCTGCCTGCCCTTTCTGCGCCCAGCAGCTCAGCAGTGAGCAGGGATACATCAAACTGATCTTCCAGGCGCCCGTGGACTAAATACACCTGCATATGTCCTTTTACCCAGTAACCCATTTGACAAACATTAGCCAGGCATTTCTTTCTGTTGATCCTATAATTTGATTTTATAAAGATGACATTTTCTGTGCTCTCAGACTGTTTTTTTCCCTCCCTTTCTGGTTTGTAAGTGACCTTAATACTGCTTTTTCGAATACAGAGAAAAACAAAAAGATATATTTTCAAATAAAAAGATTATAATTTAAAAAAAAAAAAGGATTAGACCTCTTCAGAACAGCAGAGCACATGCACACCCACATTTGAGCGTTCTGATTGGGTGGCTCTGCTTGTCATTTGAAGCGGTGGGCGTGGCCATTACAGATGGTGATGTGTACAGTGTTTATTTGCTAACAGTAATTCTCAGCACTAAAGAGGCAATACACCATCCATGTATGTTTATAATGAGCTTACAGACTATCTGTAAGTCTATCTGTACTCAATTTATTCAATAATTCACAGCATTTCATAAAGCAACTACATTTAGATTCCAGATAACTGTTTTCCATGTGTCTAACTTAAAAAAATACTTATTTTTTTTAATTTTTTTTTATACACTATCAATGTTTATCAAAGATATAAATTTATAGTCGTGTTTTTGGGGAGTTAAGTTCTATGTAGCTGTTTTTTTCTCTTTATTGTGAGTTTTTTTCCATTTGTAGGCTTCGCTATAGCATTCAGATTTTTCCTCATTTGTTCTCATATATGTAGGTTACTTATGATTGTGTGAGCGAAATCTTTGCAATAGTGAACCAATGAGGTCATGCTCAGAGAAATGAACTCCAGAAAGCTCAAGAGGCCTAAAAATCTTCACCTCCCTTTAAGCACAGGCCAAAACCTCATGCCCTTTGAGCGACTTTGCGCTCATCAGCGAGTGTTGCAAAAACATGTGCGCTTAATTGTCTTGGTAAGATCCCTGTTTTCTGTTTGAGCCTTTTCTGTGTAGATGACTGCCCTTGTTTGGATATTTTGGAGACACTGGGAAGTAATTTCCATCCGTAGTGCAAAAAGCAGCATTAACCTCTGGAAAAATCCTTTACCTTTTTTATAGGTCAGTTTTAGTCCCTCTTAATTTGCAAATTGAGGTGTGATTAGTTTTGTACTTAACAGCTACTGAGATCTTGATTCCAGTATAAAGGGTCATTTTCTCCTTGTTAAGTTTAAAATAGATATTAAACAATATTTTCAAATGAATGACACTCCCCGTGTGCAAGAAACGAAATAGTTAAAACTTAAATTGCCATTCAAAGTTTGGGGTCAGTAAGATTTCCTATATATATGTGTGTGTATATATATATATATATATAGAGAGAGAGAGAGATATTAATAATAAAATGTATTCAGCAAGGACACATTAAATTGATCAAAAGTGACAGTAAAGACACATGCCACAACAGATTTTTATTTCAAATAAATGCGGTTATCTTGAGCTTTCTATTCATTGAAGAATCTCAAACTTTTGAACAGTAGTGTATGTTTTTCAAAAGCCATATGACTTTCTTATTCTGTGGAACACAAAAGAAGATGTGTATAGCAGGCTAAGCTGCTCTTTTCCATAAAATATAAGACGATGACGTTTTAATTGACATGATAACTTAAATGTCAGTCTATTCCTCACAAAGGTATCATATTACAACCGTGGTTCCTCATCCACTTTCATTATATGGAAAAGAGCAGCTTTGACATTCTTCTAAACATCTTTCTTTGTTCTATGGAAGAAAGTTAGTTTGAACAAGTTTGAGATGATCGTTTTTTTTTCCCAGCAAATTTTAGGTCCTCTAATCTCTATGTGTATGTATATCTGAGTAAAAGTATGCTAATATATTTGATTTTGTAATGACGTTTTTGATTGTTTGATTTCATGTACATGCTGTCGTATGTACTGTGCGAATGTTAAATGTGCTGTACTGTGTTACATGTAAGAATCTGGAGAGCATACGTTGAGTCTGAAGGGTCGAGAATCCCAGGAATTTGTGTGAAGTGGATTCTCTGCCTGAGGAGTCCAAGCTCAACTTCCAGAGATCATTCAGTTGCTGCTGTTCTGAACCAGCACCCAGACATGGCATACTGGTGCAGGTTTCACCTCAGGGAGTTTCCTCCATCCTGACCACCAGGGCATGTGTTCATGAAGTATTTAAAAACCTGACAGCTGATCTGGGGTCAGTTGCGTGTGTGGAGATCTGGACCACACTCTACTCAGTGTTGCGAGTGAATATGAAGCTTAATCACGCCACAGACATAATAACCCCTCACCTGAAATACTGTAATTTTTTGTTTTAATTTGTGGATGCTTCATTTGCAAAATAATTCTCCATCTCCTATGAGTATTCTTTCCAAACATTAAGCAAACACATCAGATTTGTTAGACACATTTGTCTTTTTAAGGGCATCGCTCGTTTGTCTCTGTAGAGACGGCGTGTGTAAAGGGCTTTTTTCCTTTTCATTTTCTGTTTGTTTGAGTTCTTTGACATGTCTTTTGTCACTTTGGTCTAACTGGTCTGCATGATCCTAGTGTGTGTGTATGTGTGAGAGAGAAATAGAGAGAGAGAATGCGTGTTTTGAAAAAATAAGAATGCATAAAGGCAAATGCTGAGAATGTTTCTGATCTACCATTTTGTACCGACTTTAAACAAATAAAAATTTAAAAAGCATGTTGAAAGATTTTGGGTGTTATTTTTACTTGTCATGGACACCTGAGGCCAAGACTGACTCTTACCTTTATTTAATTCATTTCTGTCTTCAAGGATTATGTTTCTTTTAAGTAATATACAGTGGGTATAGAAAAGAATCACCCCCTTTTAAAATCACATTTTGTTGCTTTGCAGCCTGAAATGAAGATGGACACAGTTTTTGTTTTATCCAGCTGTATTTAATCAGTGCAACTTATAACATCCAAGTGAAAGATATAACACCAACATGTGAAAAACAAAAAACAAAACCAGAATCACGGAGTTGGAAAAAGGATCACCCCCTTGTGTCAGTATTTTGTTGAACCACCTTTTGCTTTAATTACAACCTTTAGTCTGTTGGGATTTGTCTCTACTAACTTTGCACATCTAGACTTTGCAATATTTGCCCACTCTTCTTTGCAGAACTGCTCAAGTTCAGTTAAATTTGATGGTGAGCGTTTGTGGACTGCAGTCTTCAAGTCATTCCACAGATTTTCGACATTACCACCTCCATGCTTTACTGGAGGAATGCTGTTATTAGGATGGTGAGCTGGATTGGATTTCTGCCAGACATATCATTTGGTGTTGAGGCCAAATAATTCAGTTTTAGTGAATCTTCAAGGTGTGTTTTGGCAAAGCTCAGACGTGACTGCATTTGGCCTTTCTTGTGGAGTGGCTTTTTTCTTGCACCCCTCCCATACAAGCCACATTTGTGGAGAATTTGTGATATTGTCGTCACATGGTGTGCATGATCACTCTTTGTCATAAATTCCTGCAGAGTTACTGTAGGCCTCTTGGTCGCCTCTCTGACCAGTTTCCTTCCGGCTCTTTCATCCAGTTTGGAGTGACATCCTGATCCAGGGAGGGTCTGTGTTGTACCAAATACCTTCCACTTCTTAATAATAGACTTCACTGTGCTTCTAGGCATTGATAAAGCCTTTGAACTTTTTTGTATCCATCTCCTGACTTGTGCCTGTCCACAACTTTATCCCAGAATCTTTTGACAGTGCCTTGCCACCCATAGTTGATTGTTTGCTTCAGTTGCACTCAAGGACTGAAATGCTCCAGAAAAGCTCTTTTCATGCTGTAATCAAAATGACCACAGCTTATCACAATTGAAAGTCAAATGGTTTTGTGTGCCACTGAGAAGGTGATTAGTTGATTCAGTTTACAAGTAATTTTAAGGAGGGGGTGGTCCTTTTTCCAACTCAGTGATTCTGTTTATTTATTTTTTTCTGACATATTGGTGCTAGCCTATATCTTTCACTTGGATGTTATATACAGCTGGATAAAAACAAAAGCTGTGTCCGTCTTCATTTCAGGCTGCAAAGCAACAAAATGTGATTATTTTAAAGGGGTTGATTATTTTCTATACCCACTGTATAATAATGAGATATGATTCATGCAAACATATGCGTCACTACCCTCTTCTACTAAACTAATTCAGAGGAGCATGATGAACACGACTGCTAATAGGTTAATGTCGGCATGAAATCAAAATGGAAAATTCTTATTTTTTAATGGAATACTGTAGTGTTTATTATAAATAATTTATCCGTGCCCTACTAATCTTTAATCAAAAACGTTAGCCTCCCCTCCTCCTCAAAACGACTCATCTTCTCTTCCGGTCACGAGCTATGGCGCAAGGGCGGAGCTAGTGACGTGAGGGGTAAACTCTGGGATAAACAACAGGGGGGAAAGCTGAAGCTGATGCTTCACTTTATAGAAATCAATGCATTGACCAGTGCTGATGCAAGCCATGGGGGAGTACACTACCCTTAAAAATTTAAAGGATATTAGGACATTACCACAACATTACTCTTAGGACATTGCAAACTATTTTTTTATGAATATGACTTAACCTGATGGAGGACGCTTCCTCAATAAATAAAAAATTTCTTCATGCTAGGGTGTCAGCGGTGAATCCAGTGGAGAGAAATCCCCCCACAACTAACTGCAAACTGGCATTCAGATATACCTCAATTTTGTTAGCAATGCCCCAACTTCCAATGATCAAATCAATTCCTGAAGGAGGAAATCAAGTCCCGCCCTCTCGTTTCAGATGCCGTTTCACTAGGATAGACGTCACAGTAGAGAAGAAAAGACAATAGCTACTTCTGTTTCATGCAGAATTTGACAACAGAACAGTGGCTCTCAACCAGGGGCCTTAGGATGACTTCAAATTATTTAAATTCAGATAATTAATACTTAATATTGTTTTTTATATATATTTTTCTCTTTTCCACCTTTTTTTTTAACATACAGTTCTCGAAATTTCTGCCGGTTGCATAAACTATTTAGACTATAAATTTAGCCATCTATTTTTTTTCTTGAAGACTGCTAATAACTTTTTTTAATTCAGTAGGCTACATAAAATTGTAGATTGGTCTAATTTAAATTCGAAAAATAAGACTGATTACTACTTCGTTAATCGCTAGTTAAAGTTCTTAAGACACATGCAGTCTTAACATTGTGACTAAGTTTATGCAACTGGCCCCTGGAATCACAAAATTAATTGTGGTTAATTAATCATAGTTACATCGTTCCGCCGGTGTCGATCGATAATTATGTGTGAATCATTGAATCATGAATTGAACCGATTCGTTCAAACCAGAAACTAAACGCCACTGCTGTGTTTTGCTAGGAGACTAGCAACGGTTAGCGTGCTGCTGTGGCTTTCAGTGGAAAGATTTTCGATGACGGTGCAAAAACAGACAAAGTAATTGTCTATATAGTGCCTAAAATGTAAGTTACTCAATATTAACTTGTTTATTGAACTGAACAATACCACACTGCACGAATAATACGTATAATACTGCTTCACCG